CTCATCCCTAACTGATACTGTTTAACTGGTATCTCCCAATTAATCGGGATCTAGCTCTTGAGCATTCTTTTACCCTTATATTTCCTTGACAGGCATCCTTCGATCCATCAAAGCCAGTTACATCTGCTGACGTTCATAAGATTTTTGAGAATCTTGCCCAGAAGCGCAGGCGTACGACTTAAGTTGTTTTGAATGTTCAAGAAAGTAGCTTTGCAACTTCACATCGAGTGTAGTTAGTTTTGCTGCTCAACACTGAATCATGTACTAGCAATTTTAACCGCTCTATATATGTACAAGGGGAATTCTTACTGTGCTTTACTACTATCTAAGTTTAGCTTTATCATATTGCCTTAGCTATAGTGAGACAGTACGATCATGTTGTTAAGCTCAGAGAACTCCTTTATGCTAGAAAGTTTCTATTGGATCAAAATATCTCGTTCATCTTATTTCCCCTTTACAAGGTCTCTGTTCTAGCTTAAAAAAAGGAGCCTTCTTGTAGTAACTTCTACAATTGCATTTCGCAAATGGGCATCGTTCAGATCAGCAATAATGTTTGTTGAAGATGGGGCAAGTGCACAGATGGTCATTCTCAAGGATGCTATTTAGAGATTAGTAAGTACTTATGTTGTTCTTGTTATGAACAATAAAAGAAGAAAATCAGAACTCTAAGAGGTCGAGTAGGGCAAAAATCATATATAAATTAGGGATTCATGTAGAGCATAGTCTGAATTAGTAGAATAAGCATGATACAGGCAGGAGAAGTGGAGAATCAGAGACATTGGTGAACAAAATAGGGTAAAATCACACAATAGGCAGGGATAGCCATAATTAGGAACCTTAACAAGCAATCATAGGGTAAAATCACAGAGACATAGAAACATATAGATTAACTGAACACGTTATCAAAACAAGACTTAGAAACCCTCATGCAAATATAGAGGCAAGGATTAGCCTCATGTAACTGTAGAGTCAAGGATTAGACTCATGCAAATGTGCGGGGACAGGGATTAGTCCCATGCAAAGAGCAAGAAGCAAATAAGGGTAGCATATGTCTTAGCTGGAGATATATTCGGTGTCTGATGGACTAATTGATAGTGAGCTTGTTACGTGTATATTTCTGCGAATGTTACCGTTGCGTCTGATGTGCCTGCGCTCAAAGAAAAATTGTAAGAATATTGCAGAGAAAAGTACGGAGAGAGAATTCTTATTGATTTGAGATCAATTACAATGTAATAGAATCCCTCTATTTATAGGAAAAGAGTGACTTAGCCACCAAGTAAAATCCCTAAAATCTCTCTAAAATATAGACATTCACCTTAAATATAATTCTATTTATAACACTTCCCCTTGAATGTCTATTCAACAGATAATGTGCCTCGTTAAAACCTTAACTAAAATAAAATCCAGCGGGAAAAAAAATTCTAGAGAAGGATAAAGAGTACACATATCTATCGATACGTCTTTTGGTTGCCTCGTTAAAAACCTTGCAAGGAAAACCCAACGGGACAAAACCTTGTAAGAAAAAAAGAGTACAACGCGTATTAACTTCCCTTGATGAGAGCATCAATTCACATCCTTGAGCCTTCACATTCCAATCTTGTGCATTATCTTCTTGAAGGTTGACGTCGGCAAAGATTTAAAAAATAGCCATATTTACTCCAATGAATATGTTGCACCTTGAAAATCCTTGCTATCACATTATCATGCTTATAGTTATAGCAAGATACAAATGTGCACAAATTGCACTTAGGATGTAGTACTTCATGATCAAGAATTGTATATGCTTCAAGCAATTTAAATCCTTCAAGGATTGTCATATAAGTCATATAGACTTTAATTAGATGCATATCAAGTTTTCATGTCATGCTAGACAAATTAAATATCGAAAACTGATTGCACATATCATTGACTTTATACTTTCAAGTGTTTGAACTACATGTCCAAAACTATATGTCTTTCGTATGAAACCAATTCTATTCGAATTGTGTCTCTTTCATTTAGCCAATATTTTTGTGTCTGTATTTGACAGACTTAAGATCCTCATCTATACTTAGCATTATCATAGATATTGTCGACGAACATTTTATATCGGTTCCAACCTCCTTATTTTCACAAAGACATAACATAGAGCTCTCTTCATTCATATTTTCAGGTACCTGAATCTCTCATGAGATTTTATGAAGTATTATGTCATGTGATCTTCTAGATCACTTGCCTCTATTATGATCATTTTTATCATTTGCTCATCTTCTTTATCAAGAAATTTATTTGAAACCAATTTGTCTATACGCTTTAAGCGTACCGTAGACTTTGTCCTTTTAGGACTTATTTTAATAGGAGCATTTGCAGTTAGAATATAGTTAGTTTCTTTGGGTCAACAAATGCGTCTGGCATGCTTTGCAATATATTGCAAATGAATTATCCTTTTATGAATTTCAAGTTCATATTATCATATTCGAGGTTCTAGATATACAAATTATAATTCATTCCACGTAACTTTTTCTCAACTGTTTATCTTGTCTCCCCCTCATGTTAGAAAAATAAACTTGTTTCCTCAACTTTGAGAACCCATCTCTGTGTGTTATGGTGTTAATCAAAATATACACCGCACATCAATAATAATAAGATGGAATTATTTGGTTCCTGACCCTGAACCACTTGTGAGGGGAGAAAATAATATACTTTCGTATATAACGTATATCTAACTGACATATATAACTTTGTTCTCATAAGCAATAGTTAGCTATTAAGTGGAGGCACTCAATAATTATTTTGCTAAACTAACTGTGAAATAAACCAACTTATCAAGATAAACTGTCTTGAATAGAAAATCTGGAAATTATGCTCTAAATTAAATTACTGAGCAAGTTACCTCGCAAACACCGGCCAGATTGCGGGTTAATAATAATCGCACATGTAACCATCTCATAGATGCATCTTATGTGGTATACATGGCAAGTGAATGAGCACATATTCACCTTTGATATTTCCAGAATTCATGGAATTTGATCCCAATTTTATTGGTCTATTAATTAATAAGAACAAGCAATGTAAGAGAATTCATAAAGAACTTTCTAGTTCTTTAATATTTACCCATGTGAGTTTTCTTTTATTTTTGCACATCATACTTAAATTAACATGGCTAAACCAATTATGCGAACTGAATAAATTATTAATATTGATAAAGTTCAGGTTTACACCATGACGTGTGCAATTATCAATAAACTCCAAGTTTATTATGATATGAATTTTATATCAATAAACATCCACTTTATTGTGATATTCTTTTATTTGTGTAGTACAAACTAGAGAATAAAGCGCGTAACTTTTTACATACGTATTACCTCGCTACAAGTTGTAGTAATAGAAGATATTAAATCTTTCATTTATTTATAGTCTCAATATAACCAACCGCTTTCGCGAATACTTTAGAAACTCAATTAAGTTTCTTTGAGACTTACTATAACACAATACCTTATTGGTAATCAATTGCGTTTCTCCAAAATAGTATAATTGGCTGTTCTAGAGTTTCCAATTAATTTTGTACCACCACATATTCATCAATATCCATATGGTGAATATCTCTTTCAAAGAGAAAGTTATACCTTTATGATAATGGTCAAAATTATATGCAAGATCTGTTTCTTGCATCACTATTGTCCTTTAATAATCACATTGCCAAAATATTTTGGCGTATAGGTACGTGACCAATGATCATTCATGCCATAATAATGACATTATTTTCATATTTCCTTTCAGACCTCATTTCGGAGGTGAGTGTGGTATATTCACTACCACTTGTTCTTTCAAGAATGAATATGTATTCATAAATCACATGTTGTCACATTCACACCATGAATAGACCATAATTATCTATATGTGCTTTACAAAATCTCATGTCAAATCAATGACAAACATTACTTTCACAGAGCGAATGATTATTTTGAGAATCCTTATTATTGTCATTACACAATGATGACGATTATAATTTCGTCAATTGCCACGTCCATATCCATTGATACTTTCACGGTAATAATTTTGTCTTCTTACAGGCTTATCACATACTGCTATCATATTCTCTTAAGGGAATGAGAATGAAGCAAATTCAATGGGACGGGTTTCACTTCTTGTGCTCACAATCATACATGAATTTGATCATGGAAAGACATAGAAATTTTACGACTTTGCGTGGTTCTAATTTCTTTCAAACTCCATTAGAGTTACAATCAAAATTTATCGTCTTTGCTTGTATTTAAAATCAAATTATATAATTTCAAGAATTTAAAAGAGAAAAATAAGATAAAATACTTACATTAAATTCGGAATAAAGAATTTATTCCTGAAGAAAGTTTATGGAACAATTGACAATCATCATGCTCAATGTTATGTACAAGTTGAGCACCCTGTGCGTATCCCAAATTAAAATAACTTCCCTCTACTCGATTGGTTAGAGTCTCGTGCTGATAACGTGTAATGTACAATAAAAGAAGAAGAAGAATATTGCAGAGTGTAGACATGTAATTTTTGACCCTCCCCAAGATTTTTCATATTTTAGCATGTAAATATTTAATTTAGGCCTAATAGCGCTGTTTCAATTAACTTTGACGCTTTTACTTTATTTTAGTACAAGAAAAATGAAAATTACAAAAAATATTTTAGTTTATGTATTTTTCATAAATTTTGAAAAAAATACAAAAAATATTACCCTATTTTTATCTTTATATAATTTCGAAAATACAAAAATAGTTTCATGTTTAGTTTAATTAATTAGGATTAGTTTTGACATGGTGTAGTACTGCTATCTTATTTTAAAAGGCATTGTGTAGTTTAGGGACCCTTCTAGACTCTTCTTTAGGACAAAAAAACAAATAAAAAGACACTAAGGACTTAACACAAAAAGACCTAGGGACTAATGGGCAAAATACACAAAAATACACCTAAACCTAGACTCTACCTGTAAATAATATTTAAAAATCTGAAGAAAGGGAGCAGCGCCGCAATACATTGAAGAGAGACGGCAGCTACTTGACCTCACTTTGGAATCTCCTAAGAGTGGCTGAAATCAGTCACACCCCATTCTTTAATAAGAACACACGCCTCAATCAAAATCAAAAAGCTGCCTCCTCCTTCAGGACTGAAACTCTTTCCGCCATAGCAGCGACAACCATCACAATCCTCTATCACTTTCTTGGCCAAAAGCTTCAATAAATTACAAAACAGGGATGGATTAAACATTGAGGATAAGTTTCGGGCTAGTGCTAACTCCGATCAAGGTTGCCGTTGAGGTCTTGAGTTGCCGGGTTCCGTCCGGATTCATCGGCGAATGCTCCGTTCAAGAGTCGTTGAGTTGTTTAGCCTCTTGTAATTCCAATTTGGTTGATTTATTCCAAAGGGTCCAGGTACCATTTTAAATCTAATGATATAAACCTTTTGATTTATTTGGATAATGCAAATATGTTCATAGATAAACTAGTCAAGGACGGGTTTGGTTCTAGTGTTTCATTTTTTTATTTTGAAGTCCTCTTGCTGATTGAGGTGAATTTAGTTTCTTTTTTCTTGCTGATTTGATGACACATACAGAACTAGTACCTATTTGTTTCTATAGTTTTTTTTTTATTGGATTTAAAATGGACGGCATTTGATAGAATAAGGTAGTTTCTGTGGCAATAGTGCTAAAGTAAGTGTTTTCTTGCCAATATTTTTCTGTAGGCTATAGCATGAAACATTTTGGTTCCTTGATTCCCGTTAGTTGAGAGATCATTATTAAAAGACTTCTATAGGATAACACATTTTGGTTTCGTGTTTTAATTCTTAGCTCTAGTATGATTACTGATGTTGATTTAATCTTTAACTGTAATAATTACCTCTATTATCAAGTGTTAGAGTCATTTGTCGTGATCAAATTCCCATTTTTCTAAAATTACTTCCATAATTCATGGCCCCTACTTAATTAATATTTTATTCCTTAGAAATCGGGACGTGCCATTTAGCGAATTTTCATGGCCTCCCGCAAAGTTAATAAGACGCTAGCCACTTTAGGGGCGCTTTTAATAATTTTACCTTCTTAAATACGGGTGTGCATTTCATGCGACCCAAATCCAAATCCCAAAACGTTGAATAAGAGGTGTCGAGGATCCGGGTGCATTTCATGTGACGTGATCCAAAAACACGCTCTCAAACGGCGTTCACTTTCATAAAAACTAATTAAAAGCGGTTAAACAATTTTAAAATTGCACTATAGGATGACATGAATTAAAATCAGACCTAAGCCAAATGTGACAGTTGAGCGACCGTGCTAGAACCACGGAACTCGGGAGTGCCTAACCCCTTCTCCCGGTTTAACAGAATTCCTTACCCGGATTTCTGGTGCGCGACTGTAATACAGAGTCAAACCCTTTCCTCGATTCGGGATTCAAACCGGTGACTTGGGACACCATAAATCTCCCAAGCGGCGACTCTGAATCTTTAATAAAGTGAATCCCGTTTCGATTGTCCTTTAATTGGAAAAACTCCTTTATTATACCCTTCGCGGGGTGTAGTAGCAGAAAAAGGAGGTGTGACACAGAGAAAAGTAGGGAGATAGAATTATTATTGATTTGAGATCAATTACAATGGAATATAACCCCTCTATTTATAGAAAAAGAGTGACTTACCCACCAAGTAAAATCTCTCTAGAATATAGACATTCACCTTAAATAGAATTCTATTTATAACAGTCCTGAAATTTTAAACTAAAAATCCTAACTTTAGAATAATTGAGGATATTTTTTTTTGAAAAATTAAAATACAAAACACACTACTAATTTTTAAAAAGCAACCCTTTAAAGTACTCGGCGTCATTTCCACGTGAAGATTCTGACATTGAATGCACTATAAAGTTGAGATATGTCTTTTTATATAAGCAAATTAAACAAAACTTTCTTTCAAGAGAACCTCATAAGTAGTTTCTTTCCTAGAGGAGCAATGGTACTGGTACAATCCACAATATTAGAAAATAAATACAATTATGTATCTTTAATTTGAAAATTGAATTGAAAAAAGTTCACCAATCTAAGACTTTATAGCTATGCGGTTGTACTCTTTGCCATCGGTATAATTATTTTAATATTTTTTGTTGTATCATATTAACGATACAACTAAAAAAGTTTGGAAAAAGGTCTGATATGTCCCTCTACTATGATAAATTGTTTAAAGTTGTCATCCGTTATACTATTGAACCATAAAACTCCATGCCGTCTTACTATCCTAACACATTTATCCTCAAGTGGACGGAGGGGACACGTGGCGCTCATCGTGCCTTTTGTACATCTGGTATCATATTTAATCGACTCGATCCATGACAACCCATACCCAAACCTCATAACCCGTAAAATATAACACAAAATAAACCCATTTCATTCATTTTCTATTCTTTGTCTTTCAGTCTCTAGAACTCTCTAACCCATCTCTTCTCTGTTGACTGCCGATTTGAACAACAAATGCCATAAAGGTAATACCTTCCTCCATTAAAGTGATTCATCTCTACTGTATTATTTCTGTTAGTATTTCATCTTTTTAGTATATTTTTATTTTTTAGGATTTTTATTCTAGGGTTTTGATTGCTTGGGCATCCAACTTAATTTTCTGCAATTTCAGTTATATATTCTAATTTCTTGTCTGTTTCTAGTGTTTTTCATGCATGATTTAGGCCTTTGTTGTTTATTTATTGTTGGGTATGATGATGTATAGGCTTATGTGTTGTGTTGGATTTTGTGGGGTTGTGTGGGGTTTGTTTTTGTCTTTGTTAATGAAATATAGTTGTGTTGTGTGAAGATTCTGCACTTTTTCATTGTTTATTAACAATGATGATCCCCAATTGTGTGGCCATCTAATTAAAGTATTCGAGTATTTTGGATTCTTTTTTTTTTTAGGGGGGGGGGGGGGGGAGGGGCTCTTGTCATAAAAATTAGTAGTTCTTTTTGGCTTTAATTATTCTTTTCCCACTTCTGACTTTTACATGATTTATTTTATGTTTTCTAAGTGGTATATTTTTTGTTGTTGTGTTTGATAGGTTATTTGAGATGGTGCCAGTCGACTTAATATTCAATGGGTTACTGAGCCTGAATTTGTCTACACAGAAAAATTGGTGAAGACTTGGACAAGTTATGACTCCGACTTACTTTCACTGTTTCACACATAGACATAGTGAATGAATTCACAAATGAGCTAGAATTTTTAGGGGTTCAACAACTTATAGTTGTTGCCCCATCTGGTAAGTTTTATGTGATTGAAGGGGATGATGGTATCAGACATTTACAAAAGTTAATAGGCAATGATTTCAATGTAGTGAATCTATTTGGTGTAGATAAATGTGAGCCCCCTATTTACTCTATTCCCAATATTGTACAGTATGAGGAAGAATCTAATAAAATTATGGATGATGTTGATACTGATTGTAGCTTAAGTGATGTATGATCTGACTCTAGTACTGATTCTAAAGAATTAGAAGCACTTAAAGCACAAAAAAGGAAAATAATTGAAAAACTTAGTGACTACAAAGAGTTATACAAAAGTATGTACTTTAAGGACATACCAGAAGCTAGAAAGTGTATGGAGTTATAGTCTCTTGCTAACAAGAAAAGTTTGAAATTGGAGAAGAGTGACCTAGAAAGGCTCAGGTATAGTTGTGATATTGTTGGTTGTCTCTTTGTTTGTTTAATATCAAAAGAAAAGATTGGTGGGGTTAAAATCAAGACTTTAAATGCTGAACATGATTATGGCACTTTATTTGATAATAAAACTGTTAATTTTAGTACTATTGCACAATATTTCAAGAAGAAGTTACAAGATAATCCTAAGTACAAGGTTACGGAGATGACGTTAGGTTTGAAGAGAATCTTTGAGCTAAATATTAGTCATGGGAAGTGCAAGAGGGAGACCTAAGGTTAATAGAGATAGGCAGAAGGATGAGGCAATAAAAAGACAAGGAGTGTGGTCACAGTCCAGAAAAGGAAGAATCATGACTTGCAGCAAATGTGGAGAAACAACTCATAATGCAAGGACTTATGGTCAGGTAATTGTTTTACACAATTTGAACTTCAAAGCATTAAATGCTAGAAATTAAACATATTTTCTAACTTGTCTTTTTAACAGCAACCAAAGAAAAAAAGCAAATTGTGTTATATTTTATGGTTATGAGGTTTGGGTATGGAGTATCATGGATCGGATCGATTAAATATGATACCAAATATAAAAAAAGGCATGGATGAGTGCCACGTGTCCCCTCCGTCCACTTAAGGATAAATGTGTTAGGATAGTATGACAGTAGGGAGTTTTATGGTCCAATAATATAATGGGGGACAACTTTAAATAAATTTATCATTGTAGAGTGACATATCAGATAAACGACTTCGGAAATGCATTTGCTTCTTGATAAATGATGAAAAGTGCATATTTTTGAGTGAATTTGCATATTAATTCTTGTGTGAGTCGCGAGAGTTTACATGATTTTGAAGTAAAATATACTCATTATGTGTTTCTTATGTATAGGAACGAGTTTGGATGATAAATGATCAAAAGATGATAATTCGACACAAAAAGAAGAGATTGAAAGAATAGGGAGCTCGTCCAATTTCGTGCGTGGCACGAAAACGGACGCGAAAAAGGAGAAAAATGAAGGCACAAAACAGTGAAGCGAAGGCACGGATCACTTCGCGAACTGGAGAATTGCAAAAGCTGAGTCCGCATCCAAGTTCGCGCGCTGCACAAAGTTAACGCGCCCTCCAGCTCTCCTATCCGATTTTGGATTGCCTTGGATGGCCCTCCACCCTACCTAGGTCATATAAATACATCCTAAAACTACTTTGGAAGAGAAAGAAGACTTTAGGGAGGTAAGAACACGCTGGGAACAAGAAGGAGAAGGATTCAACTTCACGTTTTTCCCTCTTTCTTCCTCTATTTCCTTTATTGGTTATGAATTCTAGTATTGTAGTTCTGCATACTATTATGAATAGCTAATTCGTTATCTAGGGTTTTGATGGAACCTTTTAGATGATGAATTCTTATTATATTTTTATATAATTGAGCCGTTGGATTTCTCTACTTGTTCAACTACGTGTTTGTTATTGTTGATTGAATGGCCATCAATTGACTGTGCCTATTTAGTGTGAATTGCTTGGAGAAGGGTATATATTTAGGTAGTTGTTGAACAACATCATTCCTAACGATGTGAGGGATTATTACGGAGGGTTTAAGGTAGGATTAGGAATAACGAAGCCTTGGTGCGATCTTAGTGAGCGGTGCACTAGTGTAGTTCGGAAGAATATGTCTAGTAAATTGTGGTAGTTGCTCGGAAGAAAATTACGACACCCGAAGTACTCACGATTGGTAGAGAATACTTAGGCTAAATTATAGGAAGCATAGCGGGAAGGATTCTGACAATTGGGGAAATCATAACTCTAGACCTCCTTAATGTGTCTCCAACCCTTAGTATCTTTAGTGGTTAATCACTCCTTTAGTTAATTAGTTAGAAATAAGAATATTTATATTAATAACTTAAAAGTTGTTCGAACTTGTGTTTCTTAGCGATATTGGACAACTGTAGCTAAACCTTAGTTCTCTGTGAGATTCGACTCCGGACTTTTAGACCGGATTATATTTACAGCGACCGCTTAATCCTTTTTATAAGGCAGTTGGGTGTGATCACTTCTTTTATGATCATTTGTCAAATGCAAAACGATTTATAATCAGATTGCCAAATGCCTGAAGATGCTATATGCATTCTACAAATGCGATTTATAAGATGCATTCTACAAATGCGATTTATAAGATGCATTCTACAATTTTATCCAGCAGTTGACCAAATCCTTGTAAATTCCACATTTCGATTTGTCATAAGTTGAAAGCCTACAAAGATCTCTAATGTTTAAGTTGTAGCATGTAGTAGGATCGGGAGCACATTCGAAATCATCAAACTTATTGAAGATCTCACATGCAGTCTTTCCCCGACCCAATATTGAAAATACATTAATAACGTGTTAAGCTTGAAGCCGAGCCAAGCGAGCACGACACGAGGCTCGATTTTTTCTCTAACTCTCTAAGAATTAAAAGAAGAGCAATTGTATATAAATTGTCCAAATAACTTTTCTTTTTTTTTTTTATATGCGACAATATTGCTTTGTAATTTGAGCTAGTGTTTGCTGACAAATTAGACTAATATTTTCTATAAGTAGTTTAATTTCTAGATTATGGTCTAAAATTTCCAATTAATTTGTGCTCCACCTTCAAATTTCGCTGTACATTTTTTTGTCATAGGTCGCTCAAACACAAGTCTCAACCCAGCGCCAATTCTTTTTCCCTCTTTTGTAGGGATTTGAAAAACAATTCAACTACAAACCCAAATCCATCTTCTTCTCCTCTCATTATTCTTTACTCTCTTTGAACTGCTTCAATTCTCCATTTGGTGGCCGCCGGCGAAGCTGTTCAAAAAAAGGGTCAGAAAATTTAATTTCTGAATAACTAAGTGTACTTGCATATGCTGTCTCGTGCATATTTGAATGTTATAGAAAAATTTTGGTCGCTAATTAAACCCTAGTTTTATGGATTCAATTAATGATTCATTTAGTTGTTTGCTTCCACTGATAGGTGTTTGTTTACTGGCGTCATATACTGATATACAATGACGATTATTTTCTAATTGTGTATTTCTCTAATTTACTCCATCTGTTTCAATTTGTGTGAGGTAGTTTGACTTAGCACAAAAGAAAAAATAAGAAGTGATTTTTGAAACTTGTGGTCTAAAAGGCTTAGAGGGTAAAGCTCTTGCGGAGCCTTTAATTTGTATCGCTATAAAAGCTTCTCATTAAGGATAAATTGGATAAAATGAGAAGTGTTAAATTGTTTTCAAATATATAAATGTGTCATTCTTTATGAAACAGACTAATAAGTGAAGCGTGTCGTATAAATTGAAATGAAGGGAATATCTATTTGCCTTAGATGTCGTGTTTGAAATTTAGAACTGTAACTACGCCAAAAGTGAAATTCATGCCAAACTCTGTTTACAGAATTTGTGATAATATGGCGGAACTGCAAGATGTGGCTGATTGGTCGGACCTTCAACATGACCTGCTGGTTCTAGTAGTTAGACGTTTAAATTTGATTGAAGACTACCTTAATTTCGGCATGGTCTGCAAATCATGGCACTCTGTGGCCACCAAGGCCAATTTTAACAGTGACTTGCCTAGGATTCCCTGGCTGATGTTAGCTGAGGAGGAGGATGATAACACCTGTGAAAATTCTTCAGTCTCTATAATGGCATGATTTTGAAGAAGCGAATTCCGGGAGCCAGTGGAAAACGATGTGTGGAGTCTATGGGATGGCTTATTACAGTTGGAAAAGACGAGGGTGAAATCAGTCTGTTACATCCCTTCTCTGGTGTTCAGATCGAATTGCCCCATCAAAATACCACTAAAGATTATTATGAACTCAACGACACTGAAGAACCGTGGGCCTTTATCAGGAAAGCAGTTCTCTCAGCTAATCCTTCTCAGACATCTGACTATGTTCTCATGGTCATTGAGGGACCCAACCGATTCCTCAGTTTTTGGAGACCAGGAGATTTACTATGGACCAGGATTGGGAGTGGTACCTCTTTCCAACATGTTAGTGATGTGGTATATTTTGATGGCCTCTTTTACACGGTTGCTTATGGCGGCTGTGTCTATGTTTGTGATGTTGCTGGCTTTGGACCTGCTAAAACTCATTTCGTAGCAAAGTTACCACGGGATCCAGATGCGGAGTGTTACATCCTAGAATCATTAGGATCATTATTTGTAGTTACGCTATATTATGTAATAAAGAGAGTCAAGGATGATCGTGAGATTCCATTGACGCATCTATACCACAGATAGTGTGAAGTGGACATATCAGACAACAAATATTCAAGTTTTTCAGGTAGATTTAGCTGTTGGCAAAATGATTGAGACCAGGGATTTAGGGGACAGAGCTTTTTTTCTGGGCGCTAATGCTTCTCTTTCGGTCCAAGCTTCTCAATTTCCAGGAATCAAGTGCAATCATATTTATTTTACAGATAATTGTTTGATTGAGCACACTGAGTTTGAAGAAGGAGGCGGCTCGGACATGGGGGTGTTCAACTTAGCAGATGGAAGTTTCCAGCCGCATTACGAGGGTATTTCCCTCAGTCGTGTTTGTCCGCCACTTTGGGTCACACCAACTCTGCGTTGAGTGAGTCACCTTTCTTTATTTACTCTATTTATTATGCCATATGTTTTATTTTACCCTGAAAGTCGAGTTCTTTTAAAACATTTAAACGTGCCATTTACCTTCAGACTTGATTGATTTATCTTTCTTATTATCCATATAATTGGACAAGGTACTCCCATTAGTTGTTATACTTCCTTGCTTCATGGTATGTTGTGTTGGAATGCATTACAGCCTCGAAAACTCTTTCTATATCAGTATTGTCCTTGTTCTCAAGTTTCCTACCGGAAACCGTTCATGATCTAATAATACTGATGTGCAATCACCATGCAATTTGCAATTGATATACTAACTGAAACACAAAAGTAGGAGATGTAACCATCTTCTAGCTCTCTATAGAACAGAAAGAGAGTGTAAGATGCTTCTATTACTCCGCTTCAATAAATGTGTTTCGAAGTTAATTTTAAGGGCTTAAGTCCAAGTGGAAATTGATTTATTACAAGGTAAAATGAGTTTCATACAAAGAATAAATATATGATGGAGATGCTTGAATGGACTGCCATTCTGCTTGTACTAGTTTAATTGTTAGCTTCTCTTGCTTGGAACAGTAGAAGCAACAAGGCAATGTTTGAGGTTCTTCATTTTGATGTTTCTGTTGCGTCCTCTTTTTGAATCATCCTTTGAAATCACCTAACTCTTAATCCTTGTGGCCGATGTTACATCAACTTTGACCTGGATCATGCTTTGAAGTTAACAAACTCTTAATCCTACTGACCGATGTTACCTCAACTTTGACCTTGTACGCACTACCATGTCTTCCTTTCTCAACCAATTCAGCTGGAGCTTAAATTAAAATCTCGAACTCTCAGTTTCTTTTTGCGCCAAAGGATATAAAAAGGTTGATGGGGCCATTGCGCTTTCGGGATGTTATTGAATAGTTCAGCTGGACTCACTAACAGAGGAATGGTCTTGTTTTGAAAGTGAATGTTTTGTGCATTTTCTGCTTATACTCTTTATTTTGAACGCTGAATCTCTTTTCTCCTTGTTGCTCTTAAAAAGCATTTATGCAAGTTGAATTATGATAATTGACTCAACAATAGCACCAGATAAGATAGAAACTGAAGGGGGGTGGCACTGTGGCAGCAGAGGAATGTGTTCTTGCCAATGGCCCTCACATAATCCTGGATTACCAGAAAACGAAGTAAAACTGATATTGCCAGGAACTGAATACTGAAATTAGTGTAAGTGACACTGAATTCTGCTCCGGTCTTTCTCATCCAAAAAGATTAGGTACATAAAATACTTTGATTTGTTCCTGTATACTAACCAGAAAAGAACAGGCTAACAAATGTTTATGTAATATAATTAGTATAAATCTGGTTTATCATATCTTGTTGCGTTTGGAACAAGTATTTGCCGTCAGCTAGAAGGAAGACACATCTAGGATCATTTTTGTCTGTCAGATAAATGTGATTGTTAAATATAGAGACAATAGAGCAATCTTGCTTGTGTTGTATTCAAGAAGTAACAAGTATATATACAAGTACATAGAGCCCTAACTATGGAAAGAATCATAAAGGAAATCCTATAAATCTGCTGTGAATCCCTATAATTATGCTACCTATGTATATTACATAAGATTATGTCTACATTCAGATTATGTCTACATTCATTGTCTAACACTCCCCCTCAAGCTGGAGCATAGATATTGATCATGCCCAGCTTGTTACAAAGGTAATCAACTCGAATTCCATTCAACGCCTTTGTGGACAAATCAGCTGGTTGCTCTCCTGTCTTCACGTAGCCAGGGGAGATCAAGTTCTCCTGAATCTTCTCACGAATAAAATGACAGTCAACCTCAATATGCTTAGTTCTTTCATGATTCACCGGATTTGACGCAATATGGAGGGCAGCTTGATGTCACACCAGAGTTTTGCTGGTATTGGATGCTTTAACCCAATTTCAGTCAACAGATGATGTATCCACATAATCTCACATGTAGACTGTGACATAGCTCTATACTCGGATTCTGCACTGGATCGAGATACAACACTTTGCTTCTTACTCCTCCATGATACCAGGTTTCCTCCAACAAAGACACAATAACCTGTAGTAGATCTTCTATCAATTTTCGATCCAGCCCAGTCAGCATCTGCAAAACACTCAATACGAGTATGATTGTGACTGCTATATAATATGCCAAGTCCAAGAGCTCCTTTCAAGTAACACAAAATCTGTTCCAAAGCTGCCCAATGTTTGACCGTTGGTGCAGACATGAACTGGCTAACAACACTTACCGCAAAAGCAATATCTGGACGAGTCACAGTAAGGTAGTTTAATTTCCCAACTAACCTCCTGTATCTCTCTGGATCGTCAAAAGGATCACCATCATCTTTCATAAGATGCACATTAGGAACCATTGGAGTACTGCAAGGTTTAGCTGCCAACTTTCCAGTTTCTGCAAGCAAGTCAAGAATGTACTTTCTCTGAGACAAAAGAATTCCCTTCTTGCTTCTATTTACTTCTACTCCCAAAAAGTATTTCAACTGGCCCAAGTCCTTTGTATGAAACCTAGTATGCAGAAAAGACTTGAGGGAAGAAATCCCTGCATAGTCACTTCCTGTGATAACAATATCATCAACATATACAACAAGGAGAATAGTGCCAGCTACTGATTTCCGATAGAAGACTGAGTGATCACACTTACTCATTTTCAACCCAAACTCCTGAACTACCTCACTGAACTTGCCAAACCAAGCTCGTGGACTCTGCTTCAAGCCATACAAGGACTTCTTCAAATGACAGACTTTCCCATACTCCCCCTGAGCAACAAAACCGGGTGGTTGCTCCATATACACTTCCTCCTGAAGATCACCATGAAGGAACGCATTCTTGATATCCAACTGATGTAAAGGCCAATTCTCGGACGCAGCTAGAGAAATAAATAAGCGGACAGAAGTGAGTTTGGCAACCGGGGAGAAGGTGTTAGAATAATCCACCCCATAAGTTTGAGCATACCCTTTAGCCACAAGTCTGGCCTTAAGTCTTGCCACAGAACCATCTGGATTAACTCTAACTGTAAAGACCCACTTGCATCCCACTGGTTTCTTTCCTTTTGATAAATCTACCAGATCCCATGTGTGGTTATCCTCTAAAGCATGTATTTCCTCAAGCATTGCATCAGACCATCCGAGATGATTCAAAGCCTTCACTGTTTTGGGTACGGAGATGGAGTCTAGAGAAACAATCATAGATCTAGACGTAGAGGATAAGTGGTCATAGGAAACAAAGTTAGCAACAGAATATGTCGATTTGCAAGTACGTGTACCTTTACGAAGAGCAATAGGAAGGTCAAGGTTATCTGGAGGATCAGGCAAAGGAGGATCAGATGATGAAGGAACTGGTGCGGGACATGTATCATTTGTCTCTCGCCTCCGCGAAAAAACTTGAACAATTGGAGGTCTTGCTAACACAGTTGGAGCAGGTACTGAAGGCACAATAGTCGATTCATGCTCAACAACAGAACTGGGAGATGGAAGAGCATCTTCTGATTGTTCTCTCAAAGTACGGGTAACCTGATATACTAGCCACTCATCTTCCTCCCCCTGGCTTGTAGAAATGGGAGGTGCATAGAAGAATGGTGTAGTCTCTGAAAATACTACATCAGTTAACACTAAATATTTGCCAAGCTCAGTAGAATAACAACGATACCCCTTCTGAAGGCGAGAATAGCCCAAGAAAACACACTTCAATGCCTTGGGATCCAACTTGGTAAGAGATTGTCGAACATCTCGAACATCATGTGCTTCCAAACACCTTAGGTTCCACCGGAAAATGACTTGTTCGGAAAAAGAACACTATAAGGCACATTACCACCGAGCACAGTAGATGGCATCCGATTAATCAGAAAACAAGTCGTAGAAACCGCATCAGCCCAGAACTGTTTAGGGACCTTCATTTGGAACAAAAGTGCTCGAGCTGTCTCAAGTAGATGCCTATTCTTCCTCTCAGCAACTCCATTTTGAGAGGGTGTATCAACACATGAAGACTGATGTAACATACCATGTTGTCTCATGTAGGACTAAAATAACTCTGACATGTATTCTTTAGCATTATCACTCCTTAGAGTACGTACCGAAGCATTGAATTGAGTTTTGACTTCAGCACAAAAGGCAGAAAANGCTAATTTGGATCAAACAGTTGCTCAAGGAGTTGAAATTTGGTGAGATTAGTCAGATGGGACTTGTGTGTGATAATCAAGCTGCTCTTCATATTGCGTCAAATCCAGTGTTCCATGAGAGAACTAAACACATTGAGATTGACTGTCACTTTGTTAGAGAAAAGATACTCTCGGGAGATATTGCTACAAAGTTTGTGAAGTCGAATGATCAGCTTGCAGATATTTTCACCAAGTCCCTCACTGGTCCTCGTATTAACTACATATGTAACAAGCTTGGTACATATGATTTATATGCACCAGCTTGAGGGGGAGTGTTAGAATAGTCATGTAAATAGGAGTAAATAAATAACCCTAATCCAATATATATTAGGAGTAGGACATGTTATGTGTGTATATATATATAGGGCTCATTGTAACATATGTATATACATCAATAATATATTTTCTCCCGTGCTTTCTCACAGAGATCACCAGATAAATATCCTTTACCAATAACTTGCATCGTCTTAAGATCTAGAAACAAACAATGATCGGGAAAGAATGCAACACAACAATTAAGGTCTTTGGTAATTTTACTAACAAAAATCAAGTTAAAGGCCAAGTTTGGTAGACTTAATACAAATGACAGGGTAATAGAGGAAGTTGGTTTAACAGTCCCACATCCAACACTGCTACAAGTTGATCCATCAGCTACAGTAATCGGAGAGGGTGCTTTATGTGAGCGAAAGCCAGAAAAAATATTTGGATTACCTGTCATGTGATTTGTGCCACCTGAATCGATCACCCATTTATTGGAAGAGGTGACAAGACATGTTTTATTTGACCCAGCAAAGGCAGTAACTGA